ACACACACACACACACACACACACACACACACACACACATATATATATATATATATGTGCTGTATTTATATATATATATATATATATTCATTCTTACATGTGTGACAGGTGGCTCCTGTGTATCCCGTCCCATCACAGGAGCATGTGAAGCCGTCCCAGGTCTGACTGCATCGGCCTCCATGTTCACAGTGGTTTGGCATACATCTGAAAAGAGATCAGATCATATCCGAATTACACATTTAAATATGTGTGTGGTCAATGAAAAAAACTGATCACTGCTATACTTTTTGCTGTATTTAGTTAAAAGTTTTAAAATGTATCTAAAGATCCCTATGTTCCCATCTGATGTGCTGTTTTAAATAGAAAAACAATTTGACCAATTTTCTGCACTTTTTTTCTGAGTGGCAACAGTTTTTATAACACATTTGATATGGCACACATTGAAACACATTACTGAGTGTCTGCTCAGTTAAAAACACAGCGAATGTGTTGAAGAGATGAAGGAGATGAAGGTCTTACTGTCACAATGGTAAAAAAACCTTAAGACTGAACAATGTACACTAATTAACTTTTAACAGTAGAAAATCTTATGTTCTACTTTTATGTAACACTTAAATGTTTATCTTGATTTTTTTATGGACAGATTAATTTTTAAAAAATGGACAAATGTGAAAAAGAAAAACTATCAAATGAGCACTCTAGTAAAAAAATAGTTACCATCCACAGTTAAGCAGTGTTATTTTAATATTATTTATATACTACTATAGTATTATTTATATTCTGAAATATAGCTTTTATTTTTAGATTTTTTATAATTGTATTAATTTTGTTATATGCTTATTTTAAAATATTTCTATTTAGCTTACATTTTTTTTGTATTAATAATTTTAGTACTTCAACTTATTTTATTTCAGTTAGTTGCCAAGGCAACATTTCACTTATTTTATTTCAGCTTTATTTCATAAACACAGATCAACAGATACAGATAAAAAAGACACAATCATACAGTAATTCAACTACTGTACATTGTGAGTGCATTAATCATAATATATCAAGTTTGCATATTCAGGAAAAGTACTGAATGTGAAATAATATACTTCAAATTTCACCACAAATATTTTTTTGTACTCTGAGATGATGTCGGCAGCATCCACCCCCTCCCCCCTAAAAAAACAACAACAAAAAAACACCTGAGCCTACCACTTAGCATCTCATCAGGAGTAAAATGTATGTCATTTCCACAAGGCAATCGCACAAACATACAGTGCAGATTTGCCAGCATTTTTTATTTGAAGTCCTGACTAAAATCGTAATTAAACCTCCAAAGTTAAAACAATTAATGGCTTCACTGACTTTCTCCTGAACTTAATTAAGAAACAGTCATCTTCAAAGGTGCTTTCAATCGGTCAAGGATCAAAACTGAAACCTGGTGATGTGGCACCTGTTCTGTGAAAAAACTGCGCTGAACGTGAGCTGTCCACTTCCACAGTCCTGCCAACTGCACGTCAAATCCATTAACATGGCAAAATGCATTATGAAATTAAATTAGGGAACAATCCCCTTGGAGCTAATGCTCATTAGGCCGAT